CCAAATCTATTCCCAATTCCCATCTGAAATCCCTCCATGGTTTCCGACCCACACGGATTCATTCATGTTTCCCATTTCTTCTCATCAAAGTCTATAATTCTTGTCATTTTCCTTTATATCCAAATCCATCAATAATTACATGCTGTCTGTAACCATGATTCCATCATGTTCAATCTAAATCTATCCATGATTCCTATTGCATCCCACCCCACCCAGGATTTAGTTCCATATCAGTCTGGAAAGGTATAGCAGGAAACCATAAACCCCTCCATCCAGGAACACTCTTCTGCTTCTCAGGGGGTAATACAAGGCTTTCTACACGGTCTGGAGACCATTTCTGTATTGGGAATCTCAAGAGCAAGGTTCCCAATGCAAACGTGTTCCAGCCGGGTCCAGCCGGGGCTAGTTCTTGAAAATGAACCATGCCGTCACTCTGTAAGCTGATGAAGTCGAAGACAAAGCATAGCTTCAAACCTGAGTAGACCAGGTTTGATTAGGGACCAAAATTGCAACATGTTAAATTTTCAGCTGGTGTAGGTCTCTTTCACACTGCTCTGAGCGCAATTTGCTTCTTCATGAAATGTAAACATAAATGGAGTGGAGTCAGATTTTAGCTGTTGAAGGATTTCTCTTTTGTCTTTGGAAAATTACTGTTCAAAAATGGGCTCAGCTTGATCCAGTTCTCCTGCTAGATGTGTCTTTGTTTTGGTAGTATTTACCCAGAATGCCTTGCGTTGTAATCCCCTTCATGCTTTTGGAGCAGTCTTGAGTCCAGTTGGTGTTCACACATGCATTTGAACTTCACCAGAGTTTGCTTCAGTTAAATCAAGACTGTTTGTAGGCAGACCTGAGTTAGCTTTTTTTGGTCCACACCAAAGTTTGATTTCACATTCACACCTCTCTAAATGAACTGGACTTTCTAGGCAATATGTGTAAAGGGAACTAAACAGGACTGGTGTGAAAAGCACTGAAACAATAAGCACTGTGGCAAACGGGCCTTTGAGACCTTAGAGGCACACATGACACCTACTGTCTTGCTCTTCTGACGCTAAAACGGAAGAAGAGTGGGTCTGTGTCAGGTATTTTGATTTCCTATTAAAAGTTTGTCTGAGCTTCAAAATTCACTCATGTTATCAGACTAATAAAGACCAAGTGATTTATGCTTACAGAATGTAACCCCACAAGTCTCCTGGGACACAGTGTGCAATTTATACTGGCCTTTTCATTTGAAGATAAGCAGTTATTAAGTGTGTCTGAATCTGGGCCAAATGACTTTACATCAGCTGCTCACAGCAAGAGTTACAGACCAACTTCAGTACGTTCTGTCCGTAGAGTTTTGCCTTCATCACTATAACATGTTTCACTGCTGTCCCTCACTGCCCTACACTACACAATAAAAACTGGAGGTTTTATTGTTAATCTATATTAGTTTATTCTGATACCCAAACAAGACGAAAGTGTGATGGAGTTGCTGAAGGTTTGTTTTGAAGCTGTAGTCTTGTTTAGTTGACTGCCTTTTTTTGCAAAGTCTTTGGCTAACTTCACTTTATTTCAATCAAGAGAAACAAAAAGTGGTCAATGGAGAATTGACTAGAGATTTGGTTCAGTGTTTTATTATTACTGCAGGATAAGCATAGATGGATGAATAGATTGACAATACAATAATTAAAAGCACACTTGCAAATTGGGGATACACTGATGTAAAATATTGGTTATTAATATTGGCCCAGTTTTACTTATCCAACCAATGCTGCCATGTTAAATAAGGACAAACATGTTCTGATGTTATTGATGATACTGATATATTGTGCATCCCTGTTGAAAATTATTGTTTAGAAAAGACAGTGCAGACATTTCTGAATTTAAAAAAAGTTTAAATCACTTTTGCATAGCCTGATATTTAGACACTGAGTGTACCAGATGTACTTGAATGCACCATAAAAGTGCATCTTCTGGAAATCCTCTCTGCTCAGACAGTACCTGTGTGTTTTTACAAATCATATGCTGTGCATCATTTTGGACTTGTAAAATCCTGTCGATAGTTGGATTTGGACTTTAGTTAATATTTTCCAGAACCAGAGATGTTTATGTTCAGTTTGGTTTTTCAGGTAACTCATAGTAAACAGCAGAGCGAGCCATCTGCCCTACTGCTGTTAAAAAATGCATACCCTGACAAATTTTTGTTTCAGTCCTCTCTCCTTTCTACACTGCAGCTGCATGATGAACCTTAATGTTTCCAAATGATTTAATAATAACTGGGAGTCCCGTCTGTTTCAGACATCGTGTTCAGGTATAAAACATCACTGCAGTTCAGTACATCCAGACTCTAGGCATTTTATTTATTTTATTTCATTTTTTTGTCTTTTACTCTGTATTTATTATTATTTAAAGTTGAAATTCAAATACAAATGGAATGATTAATATCTTGGCTTTCATATCAGTGCAGATTTTTGATCTATATTCATTTTAAAGCATCTTTCCTCAAACAATAGAGCTTGTGAAAAGTAAACAAATACATATATGTATAGTATTGACGTCTGTTTGCTTTAATATGAAATGTGTTTCTCATTTCCAGGTAATTTGTAGCTAAAACACATTATGCCCCAAAGATAAACACCAAGCACATGAATCCACGGTACACATAGTTGCATAATATCAGGGATGCCCCACTTCAGATATTTTTGCTAAATTCCAACTTCGTAAGAGGAACATGTTTAACCTTTGGCACAGTTTGCTGTACAGGAACACCCTGCCACCTCCTCTGCCCCCCAACCCCAGGTTTTTAAAGCAGTGTCCTTGATGGTAATTATACAGTGTTATCTCTATTTGTCTGAATAAGATCAAAGTTTGTTTCCTCACACCAAAGTGAGTTTAATCAGATAACATCAAAGAGCTCCACTGACTGTGGGAATGCCAGGGCACAGTGGCTGCAGAAATCCAGTTCTGGCTCAGAAAGCCTCCGCCTGCGTAGCTTTTGATAAAGATAAAGAAACTGAGGGAGGCAAGAAGGATGGTGGTGAAGAGTAAACTGGTGAGTCATCAGACACAGTGGAAAAGAGTTCACTGAGTCACGGCTGAGCCAGGAGCCCTGGGAGGTGGATGAGCTGTGGGACAGAGGGGAAGAGATGACTAGATGGGGTCAGGATTGAATCCAGCAGCTTCTGAACTGGTCACCAGGAATGATGGTGCCTTAGACTGTGAATCCTGGAAGGTTTGTCATGCGCTTGTTGCTTAAAAATGGTTGAACATGGAAAGAACATGAGGTAAAACCCATTTGTTATAATATAGGTGTATTTAAGACTTGTATTTGATATAAAGTGTGAACCATCTGGGATGTGTGCTGGGCCTGTATCTGCATGCAGAATATTATTTCAGCCCTGACTGAACATCCGTTGATTCAGGGCTGCCTTCTGACTCATCCCTTCTGTCCGGCTGCTGCATCGGTTGCCCTCTGCATCCCTCGTGTCAACAGCCCATTGATGCTGACTCTCTTATTCTTTCGGTCTTGATAATGTCTCTACATTGATTTCAGTGGCCGACTGATGCAACCCCAGTTTCTTTTGAGCCTCCGATGAAATTCGAGGAGTGGAGCTATCTGATCAATTTCAGAGCATTGACAGGCATAATTACTCTTCATGTATTTGATAGTAGTGAGATGAAAATATCTCATATTGCCAGCAAAAAATTAACATATGACATTATCTGAGATAAAAATGTGTCTTTGTGATGAGTTTAGATTTGATTTGTGAGGTTGTACAGGCCTTTTAAAGTGTTTAATTTACATGCATTATTATTGTTCGGAAAATGTCATGTTTAGAGGTGAACCGATCAGTCTCCAACTTTTTATTGAGTGGAATATCACAAAAGAGAGGGGAAAATGTGCTGTGGGCTCTTTGTTAGAGGTATTGGTTTTTGAATCCAACAGAAAATGAGTGAATTACAAGATTCTCCCCATCAGAGCAGAACAAGCTGAAATCTCCTGATTCTGATCCGTTTGGTGGGTCTAAACGATTTCTACTGACACACACTGTTCAAGTAGGCCGGCATTGAGAACACAGTGGGGCTAATTAACAGGTATGAGGGCTTTAAAGACATACAGAGCAGGTGCATGGCTTATGTAAGTACAAAGGAGAAAAATGTCAAAACAGAAATACCACAATAGAGGTGTTTACTGCCAGATTGTTTTTGCTCTTTTCTTTTTCATATTGAAATGTGTTTATTGCTAATATAGTGGACCCCCAGTATTCACAGGAGCCAAGGGCCACAGTTGCCCACAAATTGCTAAAATGTTTAAAAAGCTTTACCTGCTAATTCTGGTACAGAACAGGTTTATATATACATATGACTCTGCCAGGTTTTATAAGGTCACAATACTTCCAATCATATTTTATTTAAAAAATATGTTGCATTTCAGGCTTTTGTGGAGTTTTAATCTCTGCTCTGAACTTTCACAACTGTAGCAGGCCCATGGTTAGTGCAGGCGATCTCATGTCGGATTTTTGTTCGTTTTGCATTCAACTCGACGTCAGCAAGTTGTGTAACAAATAAGGCAGGACATGGAGCAAAACATAATTTTGAGAAAACATTTCTGTTTAATTTGGTGTTTTGCTTTCCTTGCAGCATGTGAAGAGAGGAGCATAATACCGTCTGGTTCTGTCTGACTGTTTGAAATGCCAATATGAATCAGGAACATCAGGTTATGCATAAAGGACAGTGTGACCGTGTGACGAAGCAGTCTGCTTGTTCAGAATTAACAGGCCCTGTTAATTCTGAAGGTTTTCTGGATTTAGTATTGAGAGTTGACTGACTGAAGGCATTTATATGATTGCCTTGTCTCTGGATAATGTTTTGGCTACAGGGCGTTAAAGCCGTGACATTTAAAAGCAGCTTGGACGAAGCATGTACTGTAAGACATCTCTGATCTCTTAACAAAAAGCGGTAGTGTAATTGTTTAGTATCTGATAACATCTCTGTTTAACCTTTCCCATTTCTTTTCTCAGGGGTGGCCGGTAGAGTAGCTCACCAGAGGACGGCTCCACCTCCTCGTTGGCTGTCCCATCTCGGAGAGCAGAGTTCGTGTTTGTTTTTTGTTTTTTTCTTTTTTGTATTTTTAATGTTTGGAAGCAACCACTCAACTTGTGAATTCATGATCACATGACCGTGGACATGGACGCAGTCCTGTCCGACTTTGTCCGTTCTACTGGAGCTGAACCGGGATTGGCCAGAGATCTTCTAGAAGGTGAGACCTATCCCTTAAAAGCCTCAGGATTTTATTTTAAAAATCTGTTTTTTACATATTTATTAAAACTTTCACCATGTCATGACAGTATGCTGTCAAACGGATAGTCTGTCGAAAAAAATGCAACTCCTCCACCACCTCCCAGTGCTACCATTACTAAAAATGCAACGCTCCCAGTCACAATCAATCAGAGCCAGGAGGCGTGTCTTAGCGCTGTCAATCATCCTCCTGTACGTCACTCAATGTGTTAATAGTGGAAAAACAACGTACTGTTACAGAAAAACCATTTATCCGCCAACATAGTGGCTATGCTAACTAACGTCAACCAGCTGTAGCTTAGCAAAGAGCAACCAGGAGGGGGTGAACATGAGATTGATTGACAACACTAAGACCCTCCTCCTGACTCTGATTGGTTGTTTCTGACTTAGTGGTGTATTTCTGCAGTTATTACTGGACTTATCATTCTTGCACCGTCACAACATAATGATAATTGTGAAAAATATTTATTTATTTATTTATTTATTTTTGTTTATTTTTACATATTTAAGACCTAAAATGTCTTAATTTTTAGGTCATTTTTTTCGCACCCACGTGACCTGCAATTGAACAAAGGTCACATGGGTTCAAGTAGACACAGAGCTTCATCACTGGAGATACCTAGTTTCAGTTGCTGTTTGTGTCTTATTATTATTATTATTATTATTATTATTGGCTACCAAACACTGAGAGAAGCAAGGTATGGCTAAAGTGAAGAGGATTTCTGTTGCCTAGCAGCAGTGCAAGCTGCCAGCAGATATATGCTCTGAAAATGTAATGCAGCTGCAGCAGCGAACGCTGGTATTCACCCGAGTGACGGAATGCGCCTTTGCATGAGATAAGACGGCCCATGCTGCCGTGACTGGTGGTAAATATTTAAACTCATTAACGACGCGTCATTTGCTCGCCTTGTAAAGCAGATCCAGGTTGTTGAGTCCCGTCGTCCAGTTGAGTCACATGAATGTTTTCTCCTCTCTGCCTCTGTCTGTGTAGGCAAGAACTGGGACTTCACGGCGGCGCTCAGTGACTTCGAGCAGCTGCGGCAGGTCCACGCCGGCAGCCTGACGTACTCGTTCCCAGAAGACCGGGTCTATCAGCCATCCGAGAAGGAGATGGCCCGGGTGGGGCGTCCTGTTCTCCACCGGCAAGACGAGGTGGTGCAAGGTGAGGCACAACGATTTGCAAATGTTTATTTTTCATTAGAGTTCAAAGTCTGTTTATGTGGTTGCTTGATTGTGATTAGATTTAGAAGCCATTTTGAAAAATTTTAAATAGTTTTTTTGTTCTGCTTGTTGTAAGGTGGTTGTAAGGTGTGTTTATTGACTTATCTAAAGTTCAACGACTTTCCTTACTGTCCTGGCTACACATCACCCTCACAACAACACAAAGGAGTTGTGTTGTTGTGACAACACAACTCCTTTGTACAGACCACTGTACAGACCACTGTACAGTGGAGTTTAGATTTATGTCCAGGCCGGGTCGGACCAAAACTACTCGTTTTTCTGGCTCTCTCGTTTCTGGCACATTTAATCAGCCAACGATGAACATGCAGAGAAAGCCGAACGAGAATGCTTGAGATAAAGGTGTGTGGTAAAACTTTGACGGGGTGTGCATAGGAATGACATCACACACTGTCATAAGCATGACATAACATCTGTCATGAACATGAAGGAGTCTTTATGAATTTTGCATTTGCATCATTTACAAAATAATACAAAGTTGGCACTTCTAATAGACTTTTAATACAACATTTACAGCAACTTTGCATTAAAAGTGTCATTATTTACCGAATGATACTTCATGACAACTGTCATAAACATTCATAAAGACTTCTTTATGCTCATGACAGGGGTTATGTCATGTTTCTGACAGTGTGATGTCATTCTTATGCACGCCCCGTCAAATAAAGTTTTACCAGGCGGGTTAATCTACTTATTATAGTCTAAACAGAGGAGCACTTCCAGAAAACAGCACAGATGCTGAAACACTGAGTTCCTTTAAATCAAGACTAAAAACCCACCTGTTCAAAGCTGCCTAGTAACTGGGACATTGATCAATGTATTTGATGTGTATTTGCTTGATAATTGTGATGATTGACAAAATGTAATGTTTATTTCATAACTGTTTGTGTAGTGTAAAGCACTTTGAGCTGCTCTGTTCTGAAATGTGCTGTACAAATAAACGTGACTTGTTGAAGAAAGAATGTAAAGAGGCAGAAGCTCATTAGACTGTAACCAGCGCCTCGCCCTGCTCCGCTCCTATCAGTCACACATCTCAGATGATCTACACCTGACTGACAACAAGTGACAAAATGGAGTTAAATCAAAGCTAGAAATGGCAGAAGTTACACTACTTACTTAAATTGTAGCCTAAAAATGACGCATTATTAAAATAATATGTTGGGTTTACTTTGGCCTCAGGTCTGTAATGGAGGTTAATTAGTTGGTTTGCATCGAGCTCAGACACGACGTCGACTGGCTCAGGTTGGGTTGAAGTTTTTAGGCTCGATCTAAACCACAATACAGTGTAAAACAATCAAAGTTAAAAACAGGGAAGTATTGCAGATTCAGTAAAATAAAATATCATGAAATTACTAAAATTTATTTTAGTAATTAATTCAAAAAGCAAAAATTATGTTGCATACATAAATTACATACAGATTTATGCGCCTCAGCCGACATATTTTTAGTAATTTTGTTAATTATGTTTATCAGTTTATAACAGAAGCCAAAAGAAAAACTCTTTAAAGCAGCTGTTTTTAGTTTTCACAGTCTGGACAGATGGTAGATGGCAGCACTGACTGTTAAGTTTGGTCTCCAATTAAAGTCCAGTCTGTTTGAACTATTTCTGTTCCTTTTCTACCCAACGTTTTCCTTCCACTAAACTTTCCATCCTTCAGTTTTTATTAGAAAACCTGAACAATGTAAAGTTTTTAACCTTTCCATCTTTTAATAAACTGCATTAATAAAAATAATACAGTAAACTGCATACTTAATTGTAAAACAGTAACAGTTTCTAGGTTTACTTCCCATTGTTTCCTCTCTGCCGTTGCGTTTCAGCGGCGTCAGAGAAGCGTCTGTCGAGGGGCATTTCTCACGCCAGTTCCACCATCGTTTCGCTGGCCCGCTCTCACGTCTCCAGCACCGGCGGCAGCAGCAGCGAGCCGCTCCTCGACACGCCGCTCTGCACTTTCCAGCTACCGGACCTTACTGTGTACAGGGATGACTTCCGCAGCTTCATCGAGAGGGACCTGATCGAGCAGTCCATGATGGTGGCCCTGGAGAACGCCGGTCAGACTTTCACTCATGTGACTCATAAAGGTGCACGCTTCCTTAAACACAGGGGTTAAAGTCGAATTTTCTGCCTGCAGGGCGACTGAACTGGTGGACGAAAGTGGTTCCAAACTGTCAGAATCTGTTGCCGCTGGCGACGAGCGGAGACGGAAACTGCCTGTTGCACGCCGCCTCGCTCGGTGAGTCTCAGTCCTTCCAGTAGCGTTCAGGTTCCCTCTCCATTAGCATTCAGCAGGAGAGCTTCGCTGTTGACTGAAGAACTAATTGCAGTGTTGCTGAGCGCATCCACCTCCCCTTTGTGGCCCTCTTAGGAATGCCAGTTCAGAGAAATTAATAAGGCCACAGCTGATGTGGACACATCAATCTAGACCTTGTTCTGTTCACCAGCTTAACGTCTTATCTGAAAAACATAAATGCAGGCCGACATTTGTAGAATTTCTGATTCTCTTGCGTTTTATGTAGGAGAGAAAAACAAAATGTTGTGCGTTTCTGATTCAGGAATGTGGGGCTTCCATGATCGTGACCTGATGCTGCGGAAGTCTCTGTATGCGCTGATGGATCACGGCCTGGAGAGAGAAGCTCTGAAACGCAGGTGGAGGTGGCAGCAGACCCAGCAGAACAAAGAGGTGCGATACCCTGACTGCCCGACGCTCTGAGACATTTACTCAGCTATTGTGTCGCTAAAGTCATAGTAAAAAGAAAGCACAGTTTTTGAGTTACCATAAATAACATCCATTTAGTTTTAAAAAAAAAGGTTGACTTTTTTTGTTTGATTTTAGTTGTTCGCTTTTGTCTCGACAATTTTGGTCCACATGACCAAAAGTTTGGAAATCCCCCACTTTATACAAAACTACAAACTGCGTCAGTAATGAGCCTCAGATAAAAGAATCTGCCTCAACCTGCGAGAGGAAACTGCTCCCGGAGCTTAAAACTATGTTTTTATGCAATTAAAACCCAAACTTTCAGGTACATTATTCATCACCAGCTGCTTCAGCAATGCAGCATCCATATTTAACAAGGCTTGGCTGCATATCAGGGATTTCAGTAGTTGGGCCAAAGCCCAATAGTTGCTATAAATGTGAGCAGGAATTTAAAGGTAAAGTGTAGAAACACTTTCCAAAGCTGAAAAACGGGTAGAACTTACATATAGACATAAAATGTTTGTTTTTTTAACTTAAATGCAATATGTATTTATTTTTTGATCAGTTTACTGCTATGATAATGTTCTTTCAGCAAATGGCCTTTTTTGAGTCTGTGTGCTCCAATTAGTGAGTAATCTATTACTAATCTAGCTTATGATTATTTCAACGATGAATTGTTCCAACCCCGTTAAACTGTATGAAGAACATCAAATCTTTTCTACTTTTAGACACGCCTGCAGTTATTTTTTAACTTGACCCACATTATTAACATGCTGATGGTTGTTTAACAGTATCCTCAACAGGCGGCTGTGACTCCTGATCCTCTCATAAGGCTGTAAATGTTCTGTACCGACTACGAAACAAAACCAGGCTGTTTGGGGTTGTTTTCAGTTTTTTCCAGACTGTAGTTTTTTGGTATGAAAGCAAGCTTTGTGGTGCAACAAGTGTGTGATTTAACATGGCAGCAGCCGGCGTGCAGACCAGACGCCCACAGAGCACAGGCCATACCAATAACTGCTTAATATCTGGTCGTTCTTCAACGGCCGCTGCAGCTCCTGCAGCGTTTATTTTCCATGAGAAACTCTGGCGCTGCTGTCTGAGCAGCACAGACGCTCCGGGCTCAGTTGTCAGTTTGTAGCCTCGTGGTAAGACGCAGGAACGTCGACGCATGCTTCTGTGACATTCGACACCGTCTCTCTAAATGACAAAACTGTGTCCTTCGTTCCCCCCCATCTCAGTCTGGGCTGGTGTACACGGAGGAGGAGTGGCAGAAAGAGTGGAACGAGCTGTTGAAGCTGGCCTCCAGCGAGCCAAGAATCCACTACAGCACCAACGGCACCAACGGGTAAGGTCTGGCACGGACAATGCACTGACTGTTAACCCACGCCACTTAGTCACACGCTGCTTGTTTTCCACGAACAAACAACTGCGGCGCGTCACTGTGACATGTCCTCTGAGACGCATAAACAGCCGAGCGGCCATGCTTTTTAATGAAACGTTTTTTTACATGGTCTGGGTCAGTTCCAGAGTAAACAACTGTTTGTGTTTGTTGTTGCTTTCTGCAGGGCGGAATCGTCTGATGAGCCGGTCTATGAGAGCTTAGAGGAGTTTCACGTCTTCGTCCTGGCTCACGTCCTCAGAAGGCCCATCGTGGTGGTGGCCGACACCATGCTGAGGGACTCTGGAGGAGAAGGTTGGTGCAGCAGAACCTCCACCTATTAATGCTTTTTCACCTGGAGGGAATCAGGCAGAGGGCCGCCACACTTCACTTCCACTCTAGACATGTATGAAATTATCTCATGTATGCCACGGTTTCGTCGTTTTCTATTTTTGGCACATAACAATTAAGCGATACCGATACAGTTTCCAGCTAATAGGATAACTGTGTTTCCACTGCTGCAGTAGCTTAATGAGGTTATATGACAATCAGGACTCCACTATCAATAACCGATATTTACCAATATTATAATTATTTCCTAACCTTTCAACACACTACTGACATTGCTTCCACAAAAAATTAGGAACATCTGTCTGCTTTCATTTGTTATTAATTATTCCTTTTGTTTTGTGGATAAACAGTTTACCTCTTGTCATGTAATGTTCCTGGTGCCCCTCTCTCTGCCGCAGCCTTTGCTCCCATCCCGTTTGGAGGCATCTACCTGCCGCTGGAGGTGCCAGCTGCCAAGTGCCATCGCTCTCCACTGGTCCTGGCGTACGATCAGGCACACTTCTCTGCCCTGGTCTCCATGGAGCAGAAGGACAGCTCCAAAGATCAAGGTGAGGCCCCTGATGTCTGCAGCAGCTCTAAAACCGGCACAGCTCTGTTGAGATGCCAGGTTTCAAGGTCCAGAGTATAAATGAAAAAAATATATATACATTTCCCAATAAAAACCATTATTATTGCCTTATGTGATGTCATTTTCAGGTTCAATACAACCTGAACTCTGCAAATTTACACGTATTATTTTCATTTGTAAATTCTGTTATTGCATATTAGCTCTTCAATCACATAAAGACATAAAATCAGAGTTGAAAAAAGAAAAAAAAAATTCTGAGTGAAACCCACCAAGATGCCTAACAAATGTATTTATCATTTATTATACCACTGTATACTGTAAATATCTAAAACTGATGAAAAAATACTGGAAACAGTTTTATAAAATTAAAAGCAGGAAGATGAAAGCAAGTCTTCATTTATTTGAGTACAACTCCACAGATAACTTAAGATCCTAAAAAAGATGCTATAAAATGTGTAATTGTGCCAAACAAATTAGAATCTCGGCAATTTCCTGATAGCATTTTGCAAATGCTTATGCTTCGATGTAGACCGGTCCAGAATGTGTGATCAATGACATGGTTTCTTTATTATGTTGGGATATGGATGATAAATAGACATAGGCCAGTCACAATAACACATTTTTGCTGGACGATAAATTATTCCAGAAGTTATTGTGATAAATTATAATATTGTTCTGAGACCATTTTTTAAGTAGTGTAATGCAAGAACACATTCTCAAAGATCAGTAAACTTTAAATTCTAATGAACTGGAAGACATTTTAAATATCCAAAATAAATAAAATGACAAATAAAATGAAGTCTTTGTAAACAAAATCACCCCTCAAAAAAGGGCTAGGTGAGACCAAACTGAAGACTTTTATCATCCAAACGATAAATCAGGTCAGTGAAAGTTATTGAGTTTGTTTCAGTTTATCATGTTATTAATTGATTATTGTGACAGCCCTACCTGCTCATGTTTAATTAGAGGGGTGTGTGGATATTTCTGCTCAAAATCTGGTCAAATTTAAATATCCTGGATTAGTAATGGTCACACTCGGCATGAGGAATAAAACTGCAGCACAGTTTTATTCTTTTTTTTTGTCTTTTTCTACCAGCAGTTGTGATTCCACTCACCGACTCGGAGCACAAAATGCTGCCTCTGCACTTTGCTGTGGATCCTGGGAAGGACTGGGAATGGGGAAAAGATGACACAGACAACGTGATGCTGGCGAGGTAAACGCACAGAAAGAAACCGTCCGCTCACATGTCCTTCTATAGAAAGGTCACAAACAATGCCAACAAAACGCTGCGTCACATGCCAACGGTGTGAGCGTGCGCTGAGGCCCGTAAACAGCAGCGGCGCTTTCAGCAGCAGGCGGAGGCGTGCAGAGATTGGCCGCTGATGCCAGATTACAGATACCCACTGACGTTGACAATGAGATTAGCCGTAAATACTTTGAGTGAATGAACCAGAGGTGCAAGCGCCAAAAATAGCAGCTCTGTGGAAAAAGAACTTTATTAACTCAGCTGCTAGTGGTGACTGTCTCATCTGAGTGTGTTTAAAGGTCATGGAGATGAAGGTTTATCGCAGAATGTGAATCCAAGACATTAGGATCTATTTTCTCTACCTGTGTTTTATTAAATGTATTGAAATGTTAGAATTGGCAGCTCAGAAACAAACCATGTCACCTCATTTTACAGAACAAACTAATGCAACTAATGATTAATCGAATAATAAAATTGCTACATTATGCAGATTTTTCATTCATTTTTTTAGAAATGCATAAAAGATGCAAATAAATGATTTGATAAATTTTTTAAAATATTTTTTATTTTTGGCTAAAATGCCATGACAGCATTTTTTTTCTCTTTTGCTTGACAACAATACAGTGTATTGGCTGTTCAGGGCTGATCTGTTGCTTGTTTTTTTGTTTTACTGGTTTGTAATTGGATAACAAATGTGCTTAAAGACAGATTTCTTTTATTTCTTATTTTTACAGAATTTGACCCTGGGTAAGCTAAAACTACCATTTGATTTCTGGGAAGAACATATTTACAAAAGTTTATTATTATTAAGTTTTTTGGCCTCTTCAAACCACCTCGGCTTTTGCCCAAACTTGAAAAAGCTTTCTTCCTCCAAAGAGACGCAGAAACAACTCATCTCAGCGACATCTTTTTATTTCTCTTTTCTTTTGTCTTTAAATTACTTCAGTTTACAATACAAGACCACCATGGTTTTGTTTGAGTGGTCAGAGTAGACAGAGAGGTCACCAAGCGGGTTGAAAACCTACAAACAAATTAACCAAAATAAATTACAAATCACAATGAGCTAATTAAGCAGTTTACCAAATATTACCAATCTATTTTTAAGTTAACAGTGAATGAACAAATAAACAAACTACATTCTAAACACATAAAACCAATTTCACCACCAAGGCTAATTTGGTCTTCTGAATGCAGATGAAATGATTTAAACTGTGCATAATGTCCAATTCCTACCAGTGGTGTCTTTGTGGAAGCTTGAAGCCGAGGTTCTTTGTCTGTAGAGATCATTCTGAGCACAGCTGTGCCAAGTTCTGCCAAGGCTGCGCCAAGGCTTCTGAAGGCTTGAGTGAGAGAGAGATGGGTGCGCTTGATTCTCTCTGATGCATGTGCCAATTGGGTGGAGATAGCAAATTTGCTGTTTCAACTTGACAATTATTGTTTTAAATGGAAAAAAAATTATATGTGTATATATATATTTTTTTTACAATTATCTGCTCTGAGTTTGTTGTTCTTTTAACAAAAGGCCTTTTTTAGAGTCTGTGGACTCCAGTTAATGATTAATCGATTACTAAATTAGTTGATGATTAGTTTAATAAGCAATTGATCCAATTATTTGTTTCCTCCCTAAATACTAACGGGTGTAATTTATTTATAGAAATATATAATCAGATCAGCACAGTGACCCTCTCTGTACTGAGATTCCGATTCAATTGGGATCATTTATTATGTTTTCCTCCAGTTTTATTAAGTTTTTTTCTGTAATCTCAGAAGCCCAGCCGGTTGCAGCAGTCGTTCCTCATGTGGTGACGGTGGACATGTAGCAGCAGAATCTGCCTCAGAACTGAACTTATCTATTTTTTCCTCCCAGTGTGGCGCTCTCGTTGGAGGCCAAGCTCCAGATGTTACACACCTACCTGACGGTTACCTGGCTGCCGCTGCCATGTGAGGTAAAAACGAGCTGCTCCATCAAACTCACCTGCTCCTGTTGAAAACAAACCAAAGTAAATCGTTTAAGTGTGAAAAAATCGTTGAATAAAACGTCCAAATGTACCGTTTATATGGGCGTAAAATGAATGACTCCAATCATGACGTGTTCTTTCATGCATGTCATGTTTGGAACATGTGGCGTGTTGTAAAATTCCCTTAAAAACACAGAAGTCGCACTTCCGTGTGTGCTGAGTCTAAAAACAATCAAGCGTTGTGGTGTGTTGAGTTTTCTGAGCACTCAGAATGGATCAGCGCCAGGTTCTAATGAGGCGTTGTGAGACACACAGCTGCAGATGTAGGCTTTTTGTTTTTAATCAGGATAAAATCAGTTTAGACAAATTAAAATCTGTCAATTTAAAACAATGGCTGCAACACAAAAGACTAATTAAATACAGTTGTTGTATTTTTTGTGAAGATCACAACAGGGTTTGATGCGCCCAGATCTGCTTTTAATGAATTTATGAAACTTGTCTGTAAAAACTAATTGCTTATCGGGACCCGGTTATTTGAAATGTGTTATTTCTTTACATCTCTGTTCATTTTTCTTCTCTCACTGAGCTAAAACCAGAGCTAAAGTTAAATTTAAACATTAACCTGGTGCACTAAGTGTTTTTCTGCTTGGTTTGCCTGCAGCAAGCCCCTCTGGCCCAGCCCGAATCCCCCACAGCGTCCGCTGGAGAGGACGCCCGAACGCCTCCCGACTCCGGAGAGTCGGACAAGGAGTCGGTCAGCAGCAGCTCCAACGGCAACGGAGATGCAACGGCGAGCTCCACCGCCAACGGCAGCGGCTCGTTGGCCAAAAACAGCTCGTCTTCTTCCTCCAGCTCCTCCAGCAGCGGGTCCGCCGGCGCCGGGACGGGCGGGAAGGACAAAACCAAGAAGGATAAAGACAAAGACAAGAAGAGGGCGGACTCTGTGGCAAACAAGCTCGGCAGTTTTGGGAAGACGCTGGGCAGCAAGCTGAAGAAGAACGTCGGCGGGCTGATGACGGGGAAGAACGCCGGAGCGGCCGGCACCAAACCGGAAGGCGGGGAGAAGAAGAAGGGCTCATTCAGGGGCAGAAAGGGCAGCAAGGACAGTTCGCCGTCCGCCCAGGCCTCTGAGGACTCCGGGAAGGGGTCGCCGTCATCAGGCAGCGAGCGCCTCCTAGGGACCATGAGCAGCATGAGCAGCAGCGGCGGCAGCAGCACAGAGAGTGAGCACTACAAGTACAGCTCCGACGTGAAGGTGAGCCTGGGCATCCTGCGGGCCGCCATGCAGGGCGAGAGGAAGCTCATCTTTGCCAGCCTCCTCACCACTAGCAACCGCCAGCCCTTTCAGGAGGAGATGATCCAGCGCTACCTCTCCGACGCCGAGGACCGCTTCCGGGCTGAGCAGGAGCAGCAGCGGCGCGACGCCGAGCGGAAAGGCATCGCCAATAACCTCCAGCCGCCGAAGAAGGAGGAGCTGAGCTACCGGCCGTTTGACGCCAAAGAGGAGCTGACGGAGACCTTACCGCCCTCCTTCAACCCCACGCCGCTGAGCCCCTCCCTCTACTCCGCGGTCATCCCCATCCCTCGCCCGTCGTTCATCGACCAGCCCCACGTGCCGACGCCACTGACTCAGCACCTCCACATGCACAGCCACCTGGATGCACGGCGCCAGCTGGCCGGCGGCTCTCCAGCCACCTCTTACCCGGGCCTCCCCGCCTACGCGACGCTGCCCCGCCACTGCCCCGCCGCGCCAGGTCCCTCCCACCCGCAGTACATCCCCTCGTCCCCCAGCCCCTCCCGGCTCGCCCCCTCTTACCTGCCGGAGTTTGACCCGCCCGATTACCCCGGCGCTGAGCCCATCGCCGGCGGCTACACCAACGGTTTCCGGGAGCTGAACGCCGGCCTGGACTGTCGGAGTGGGCAGGCCCCCGTCAGACACTACTCTCTGGGCAGCGCGGGCGGCCTGGCCGGCCTGCAGTCCAGCCGCTGTCGGACACCCAGCTGCAACTACTACGGCCACCCGGAGACGGGGAACTACTGCTCATACTGCTACCGAGAGGAGCTGAGGAAGAGGGAGGCGGAGCCGGCCGTCCACCGCTTCTGAGCGAAGAGTGGCCTTTTTGTGTTTCAGTTGAACAGAACGGGGAACGACCCCTTACCGTGTCATTTCCTGTTGAAGGCAACGAGAAGAAACTGGGGAATAGACCGTGGAAGAAACTGACTGCACTTCTGTTACGTTTTTGCTCTTATGCAGCTGTTGAGTGTGTGTGTGTGTGCGTGCGTGTGCGTGCGTGCGCGTGTGAATGTGTGGACTTCAACTCTCCACCAGAGTGAAGTTATGCCCAAATCCCACTTCTTCTAATTAAACAAAATTTGTGTCAAATGTTACATTTTTGTGTAGCACAAATTTATCATTTTAAAGATATTAATGAATGTTTCCAGAGGTCATCAAAGGTCAGCCAGTCAGTCCACATTTACAGAACCCAAGGAAACATGGTGTCAATCAGCTGTGCTACATTTGCTGGTTCGTGCAGCAAAAAATGTTGTTTTGTCTTTTATTTTTAGGGCTTAAAAACTTCTGAGATCAACCTGCTGGTTGCTTGTTTGTGCAACTATTTTAATTTTATTTTATTTTTTGCCACAGTTGTTTGACACCAAATTAGTTTGATTTTGTAAAACTGGGAAGCCAGGTTGACCTGATGACCCCTGAAAACATTCATTAATATTTCTTTAAAGGTTGTGGCATAAACGTTAATCTCTAGTGACTTGTGAGAATTTCTTTTTTAAATCTTAAAAATTGTAATGGCACAAACAAAACTGTTTGCTGCACAAATGTGTCACAGTTGATTGACACCATATTTAGTTTGATTTTGTAAATATGAACTGACTGGTTGACCTATGACCTCTGGAAACATTTATTAATGTCTTTAAAATGATAACTGCACAAACAACTGCTTTGGTGACACCGATTCTGTTTCATTTGAAGAGGTGGTGAGGGGTCGGCTTCACTCTGTCGACTCTCCTCCTTGGTAAGAGTTAAACACCTGGCTACTGTCTCCTCCTAGTGGAGGGAATGTAAACTGCAGGCATCGTATATAACACTCATGCAGGCAACTAGCAGTGATGCAAGCACAACTGGAGAAGGCACAACTGTCTCCGCTTCACATGTTTAGTCCAACATCAGTGTTACGGATATGACCTTACTGTTACTGGATGCCTCTGTCCTCGTCGGATTGCTTCTACTCGATATTTGCATTATGCAAACTGAAACTACTGTTTATCGCTCGACGTGCAGAAAGACGCTGATGCGGTGCTAAAACGCAACAATCAGCACCCCTGCAATAAATTCCCCGCCCCCCTTTTTTTTCTTATTTTAACTCAATCAGATGAAAACTGGATCTGGAAGATGTCAGCAGGTTCAGCACAGCCAAGCTGCTTTGCAGACGTATTGAAGCCCCATATTTTCTCAGCTTAGATCCACAAACTTTGATTTGTCTTTATTGGGATTTTAGGTCATGGAGCAACAGACGTTAAAAACGGTGCAGGGTTTGAAAAGCAATGCTCATCCTGCAGCTACGGATTTTCTTTTAGCGTTGCACATCTAGAAACTAAAATGGGATGAAGAGTTTGAGTCTGGTCCAGGCTTTGACTAGGCCATTTTAACACAGGAGTATGTGTTAAGTCTTTCTAGGGTAACTATAAACGCTCTCTCCAGGATTACTTTGTATTTGGTTCCGTTATTTCCATCAACTTCCTGTTGCTGTTGAAGAAAAGCATTCCCACAGCATCATACCGCAACCATTGTGTTTAACAGTGGTAGTGTTCAGCTGTGTGTTCTTTTTTTTCTCTCCATTTGATAAAACAATGACTTTCTTTATGCAACCCTTCCAGAAAAGGTCACTTTTCTCTGTAAACAGAGTTGCCATGTTGCCTCTTGGCCTCTTCGCTGATTAATTATCCCATTTTCTGGGCCGTCAGTGGTTAAATGTAATTGTTTGTTGTGTGTTTTAGTTAGGAGTATCACTGTAAAGGAGGGCTGAATACAAATACATTGAAAATCATCTATTATTTTCCTTCCAGATCATAATTACGTACTGCTTTCTCATTCGCATAAAATCCCAATAAAATGAACAGAAGTTTCTGGTCTTGGTGCGACAGAAGCTGAAACCAGTTGAAGGGGTTTGGATACTTTTGCACAAGGCGCTGTAAGTAAAAGCAGTGGCATCAGCTGAGATCTGTGACGCTACTCGCCCACTCTGGAAGTGAAATAGCTTTTTTTTTTTTTCCCCTGACTCTTGACAGACGCATCTTTTCCGCGCAGTATAACGGGAACAAAATCATGCAAACGGCAGTCCTGAACTTGGACGTGTTGACTTTTAAAGCTGCTGCAGGAAGGAACGGATCGTGGCCGCGTCGATGCGTAAAGCGGCGCTCTGGTTTGATTTCAGGTGCTGCAGGTGAATTTCAAAGGTGTGGGAAAGTTTTTCTTCTGTTTTCAGTCTTCTGTCAGCTGCTACACTGGCTGTTTTAAATGCTCTTTGCACCAAATGAAGAACAAACACTAAATAAATCAGACACTGGGTTTAACACAAGGTTCTTATCGAAGCTTAAATTAAAAATATAACGATTTTCTGAAATAATACAAGATTTCTAAGAATTCCTGTTTCCTACTTGCGTAGGTCAAATGAAAACCACCTCGGATAATTTACTTAGAGGCTGAAGGTGTTTTATTCTCCTCCCTTTAAGCACTTTTCCAGATGTTTTCTGGATTTTTTGTTTTTTCCCTCCCTGTCTCTGCAGACACTGCCGCCTGGAAGTACGGGGCTCAAACTAGAGGCTTTTATTCCAACCGCTTCCTTCCAGTTCACTGCTGACCGCTAAACCAAGCAAATAATTGCACAATTTTAAACTAGCATCGGTCCCTTTGAAAATTACACCCTCGTCATGTCTATTAAGCGCTGGAAATAAGCTGATAATGGGGTGGATTTATTTGAGTCTTCCTTGTTACTTCGAGTTCAAGACTGTTGTGGTTCTCACGTCTTGCTGTTTTATCGTTTCACTACAAGAAGCCATGATGTTGGACTCCAGTTGCTCTGCTTATTCAGTCTTCTCTCATTGAGGTTGGTAGAAAAGCACAAAATAGTATGCAATTCACTGCCTTGCCCGCTAGAGGGTGCTCCTGTCTTGTTTTCCGTATGGACTCGGTTTTGATTCTGGCCCTGCTGCTCTAACTAAACACTAAACCCCCCATTAAACGGATAATAAGGTGTGTTTTTATTAGTGTTGTTTAAACACTATTTAATAGCAAGATGTTGCTAAAGCTGCTCAATTTTCAACGAAACGCAACCGTCGTCAGTGTGAATGTGTGTCAGCATGTGTTGGTAATGTAGGATTTTAACTGATAAACATGAATAAATCTTTTGTTGGGGAGAAAAACTTGCTTTTTTTCCTCTTCTCTCCTTTCCTCCAAAGTAATAATTATCTCCCAAACTCAGTTTTTACATCCTGCAAACTATAGACAACAAACAGAAGCGCTTGTGAGGTTGTATAAATATGTTCCGAGTTATTTTTGTAAGCCCAAAGTTTTACAGTGTTTTTAAAAGGGTAAGAATGTATTTTGTTGGAAACTTCCACAGTTCTGAGAATAAGCTTGGAAAGAGCCTGGATCTGGGGGTGGAAATGTTTGGGCTGTTGAAGGAAACCCCCACATGGGCCTTTTTGATACTTGAGGCTCCTCTCATTGAGAAAAATTTCCTTAATACTGACAAAACAATTTGAGAATAAATATATCTATATATTTATAGTGAGATTTTTTTTCTGTTCTTTCGAATTTGTTTCCTTGTAGGAAGTTTAGTTGAGATCATTTAGGATGTTCTTTCTGGCTAATTGTCTAGAAGTCCGGCTTTTGTTTGTTGCTTTCTAAATTTGTGAACGTTTCATTTTTGATGCTGCAGCCATCAGTCCGTGCTTCAATTAAAGAAGTTTTTTTTTTTTTTTGACTCTGCTCATTTCCTCAGAACAAGAAGAGAAATGGCTCCGCATTAGTTTGCAGCACCGTCGACTCGATTATATTTTTCTATGATCTTTTATTTGGGGGCAACGGGGAATACCTCCGAGCTGCATGGGACTGGAACTGTTGCATGTAAATGGCGAACCATTTTACCAAATTTGTGCGTTACTTTAATCTGATTTTTGTTCTTTGTTGTAATTTGTTCTGTTTTGATTTTTCTATCTTTAATTTTTTTTGGTTTGTTTTAAAAGGCTGCGTGACAGTGCAATCTGGATAGAAAGAACATCAGATTTTTTTTTTGGTTTTTTGGTTTTTTTTTTTTTTTTTTTTTGCACCGTTTGAATAAATTCTCATTGTATTTCAAGGATCTTTCGTCTCTCTTCTGTTTTTGTTGAGTAGCTCCATTTTGTCAGTTTAATCCAAAACAACAAACCTTGAAATTTGAATATTGGATAAATAGTAAGTTTAGCTATAAAGTAAACTTACCAAAGTTAAAAAAGTCTTTTTCTCCTTCAAGAAAACAAATTTTCTACCAGATGTTAAAGCAAACCAGTAAATAAAAAACACATGAAAGTAATATGTGGCTGTAATCCCACTAAAAAGCATTAAAAACATTATAGACTCTCCAGTTTGGCTTTCATCTGAATCCTAAGCTATTTCTGAAGAAATTGATCACCTGGAAGTGTTTTTATTGCAAAACTTTTCTCTTATTTGCTCTCCGTTTGGTTCTGTTTTATCTTAACCTTGCTGCATAATACATTAGTGAATATCTCCCAGCTCAGATAATCCACACTCCTGTGTCTGTGACTGTTTTATGTATTAGAGAAATCGGAAACCCTGATGCAATATTAAACAGCTTCCCATGTGGTTTAAAAAAATCCAGACCTCTATATTAGTTGACTGGGACGCCTCACCTGCTCAGCAGAGCTCAGGATTACTCAAACTTTCCCTTTTCTTCCTGGGAAGGATTTCCTGAAACGCCTACAGTCTTGGTTCCTTGCACTGCTGTGAATGAGAGGGAAAAGATTCCTGCACGGATTTGTCTGAGGATCACAGTAAGGTAAGAAAACAGGCTGCAGATGGAACATTATAATTATTTGGTTGTTTGTTTCTTAATGTAAAGATAATTTCTATAGAGTAGAAAAAAGTTGGCTTCGTTTCTTGACATTCATTCCTGTATAATAAAAATGGCTTCCTTTAGATACCAGTTGTGGCTGCGTCTGCTTTTACATAAAGAAGAACATGTTGGAAAAAGAAAACTTGGACATCCTGTACATAGGGAATCTAGCTGAAGCTTATTTAGTCTGCTTTTTGAAAAGTACTGTTTAAGGTTTAAACAAACAACATTCTGTAAATGTATCCTCGCCTCTCTCTTCAGGGAACGCTGCACATTTTCCTTTATCGTTCTGCTGGATGCAAACAGGCCCAAACCATCCGAACTCCACCGCTGTGCTCCACAGCTGGTATCTGATGGTTACACTGAAATGCTCAAACTATGTTACCTCATATTTTAAAATGGCTAACTCACCAGTTTTAACTATTAAATTGGTGGAAATAACTAATTGTAATCAAGTAATTAATTAAAAGATGAAAAAATAAAGACATGATCCTAAGCAAACCAAATCTATTGGCTGACTCTGGATAGGAATCAAGTTGCATCTGCAAGTTGTTTTTTAATTTTGTTTTTGTTTTGCTGTTTGTCACAAATGCAAACACAAACTCAAATGTTGCTGCTTCACTGAGAGACATAGAGAACAGGCTAAAGGGGAGGGTCAGAATATGTGTTATGTTAGTCGTCATCTCAACTTTTTTTTCTTCTAGTACAAAACTGTCTGAAGACAACAGTGAATTTAATTTGAAGTGAGTGGCTGGTGACTCAAAGAAAACTCAACAAAATCTGGAAGTATTTTCTGATAATAGGGAATGTTTATAAATGAATGTGTATAATACATTAAAATCTTCAAATAAATATTGAATATTAAATGTTCAAGTGAATTTTAATCAATATTTTTAGAATAATTCAAAGTTGGACATCCCACCAGGTGAATTTGTAGCTAAACCCAAAGTTATTCACACCCCTGCAGATTTAATGTAAAAGTGTCTTCATTAAACCAAGAACTGTATGATTCACATCTAATTTAAAATTTCATTGTATTTATTAAATTGTATGGCATGTAAATTATTTATATCATCCTCAATAACCAAGTATTCCAAATAACCAAATAAATCAAATGTTTATTAACATTGTGTGTATATAATTAAAAGGCTACTTAAGTCATATAAGTATTAAGTAATAACACCTGATATTTGGAGATGATGTGATTATGTGACAGATATTGAGTTATGTAACTTCTGGTATTTTAAAGACTAAACTGAATAACAAAGAAAAACAAATTCAAGCAGAATAAACTTTAAAGCTTTTTTTTTTCAACAAAAAACTTATGAAACAATTTTTTTTTACTCAGTTTTATTCAAGAGTAGCCATATTACTACTGTAAAATATTACAAAAGTAAAAGTACAGTGTAGTAAAATTGACTCATTTTTCAAAATAGTTACTGAAGTAAATGTAGCCACCAGTCACTACCCGCCTATAGCTATTAACTTCAGTGGTGACTGATGGTGAGTTCAGGGAGTCTATAAAAATCAGGAAAGACTGCTAACCCCCGAAGCGTGATTTTCGTTCCAAACAGAAGCGAGACCAGAACATATCCAGTCTCCTGCGGGTTTTTCTGTGAATCCTAACTGAAGACTGTCCCCGAGTCCAGCCTCACTGTCTCTTTAAGAGCCCGCTCTCCTTCAGTCCTCCCTGCTTCACTATGGCGAAGGAACAAACAAACAAAACGGAACGGGTCCCGGCCGGAACCGTGAACACATCTCTCGGTTTGAGTGACTAAGCTCAGTGAGTTGTGGCCGCTCTCAGGCAGGGTGTGCTCTTGTTTTCTTTATTTTTCTCTCTGTGCGGGTTGAGAGGCAGATGCTGTCCGCACAGAAAGCGATGAAAAGAGCTGGAACAGTTGGCTTGTTCACACCGAAAACCTCAGCTGGAGGAGGAGGAGGCGGAGAAGAAGAAGAAGCCGGGCTGCTGCTACTGCTACTGCTGGTGGCCGCTGTTCAACGCCGTTTTAACGGTTTTCCTCCGCTGGAAACAGATGGACGAAGCAGGACGCTAACCCGTAACCATTAGCTTCAGACAGCACACGTTTTCCCTCCTGGATTCTTCCTGGTTGTCGGTTCTGAAACAGTCCAGAAAGATGTTGACAGGATCCAGAACGACGTTCAAAGTGAGGCAGATGCTCCCAGATATTAAGGTGAGGTTACGGGACAGGCTAACTGGCGCTAACTAGTCCCTCTGACCTACTTCTGCCTATTCTAGTTTATCCACAGCAGATGTGTAAGTGAGACCCATAAACAGCTCATGGTTGTTTAAGATTTTTTATTTTTTTTTTGCTTGTCAGACAACCATCCAGTTCTTATTTAAAACCGATCTGATCATATTTGGAAGCTTTATTTTTTATCTCATATGTATTTTCTGCCTCATATTTAATTTAAGAGACTTTAAATATTTATCTAAGCATTTGATTTGGCTGTCAGTGCTACAGTCCGTCTTCATAACTCTGCTTGTGACCATAAAGCACAGAAGGAGGCAGGAAAAGGGCAGTGTTATGATGCAGGAAACACCAGCCATCATTCAGGAGGCTGAGCTATAAATGTTCAACCAGACCGGCCGGATTAAACCACCAGGATTCCTGCACACTCCCTTAAAAATACTCTTGTTTGAAAGCATCGATCGGTCTTTTTGCCAGTACCAATTTTCTTTTCAATTTCCTAATTAAAGCTGCACAATAGACTGAATCACAAGCGTTTCTACAAGGGGTTTTAATGACAGAGATGCTAAAGTTCACACAGAGGTGAATGTGGGTTCATCACAACCATTACCATCATTACCAAAATGCTCAGTTGCATATTTTCCTGCAGCTCCAGTTGTTAACCTTTGATTCTTCCTGAAAATCAAAGTCCTTGTTGATATATTTATTGTCAGGCCGGCACTCCCTAGCTTTACATGGAAAAGTGGCAAGAGTTTATAGTTGGACAACAGAGTGATGCATAACTAGTTACTGGGATTTTTTTATTTTTAGATCTGATTAAGTCTGTAAAATAGCGAGCGAAAGAAAAAACAGCCTTATTATGTTTAATGGAAAACCCAAATTGCACACTGGATTAGTTGCAAGCAGGTATTGGGTTTGAATCCTGGCTGTTCTCCCAATGCGTTCATTGGTTCTCTGCTTCCTCCAGCAGCCCAACAACATGCATGTTGGGTTAATTAGCCATTTGTGTTGCTCTCCGTTGGACTCATCTGGTGTTCTGCCAGTTTGTGTTTCTGCTCCAGCACAGCTGATTCAAATGGGCCAACTACCTCCTCAGGATGTCATAAAGTTCTGCAGAGGTTCTGCTAATGGACCATCGTTTGGATCAGGCTTGTTGAACTGAAAACATGCAGTATACCGATCCTTGAGGACTAAATTTGGACACCATTGCTGTAGTCTCCTGTCTGTTAAGCACCATCCTGCTTCCCTAAACCAGCAGGATGGCCTGTTTGGAAAGGAAAACCAAACAGGCCAGTAACGAACTTGGATCAGACTTTATTAAGATCAGACTTGTCAGATTTGACATAATAAACATGAAGACCTTTGTTTTGTTTGCCGTTCTTTATTTACTATGATGAAGATATAGTCTAAGCATTAACTACATCTTAAACATGAAAACTTGTCTTTAAATGGAAATAAGGAAGAGACGCTGCGATCCTCTGGGACGTTCTCCATCCATCCTGGATTCCCTCTTGTTTTTTCAGTTCCCTGCTCTCTACTTGCTTTAAAGGATAAAGACTTGCATGTTGAGAAAGAGAGGGTACATATAATCACTGTTACTGCTTGGAAGCCTAATTACAGTCCACAAAGGGGAATGTTAATCATGTCTCTCAGCATGGTGGGAATAAACTGCAGCCTGTGATTCATCATCTGGACAGATGTGTGCTGAACAATTTCAGCTCCTTTTTATTACACGAGCAATTACGGAGAATCGACGAACTGCTCTGAAAGGTGTGTGTCATTATGCACACCTGACAGGAGAAACATTTGGTCGATGCATGATTAGACAGAAAGCACAGGGTTTCCTGTGTTCTTGGCCGTGTTGTTGCGCAGCCTGGCTTTGTCTCCTCGGATATTTTCTGCAGCCGCGGGGGGAACTGGGAACAGATGCCTCCCTTTGCTCCCCCTCAGGCGAGGCTTGCATGTGAAGTGGTGGTGGTGGTGGTGGTGGGGGGTGACGTGCTGTGCACAACATCTGGCTGTCGTCATGGAGACGGGCGCTGGATAGGTCAGGACTTGGGAGTTTTTACTACCTCAGAATGAGACGTTGGGAAGTCATCAGCGTGCGGGCTTGTGGCTCAGGCAGAGATATGGTAATGCAGTGTAGCGGCCTGTGGACGGTAGATTATACGCCGAGGCCACCCACACACTCTTTTGTTTCACTTTTCTGAGCGAGTGGTGAAGCTGAGTCTAAATCTGGGACCAGATGGTCGCTCCGTTTGGACGTGCCGTTGAATCTTCCTTTCTTCATTACAGTTAAAGCCCGTTTTGATCGGCTCAAACAACAACGGGTTACCAATTTATTCATTTTCCTAGTCATAATCAAAAAGTGTGTGTTTTCTCAGTTGTTCAGGCGGAAACTGAAATGTTCATTTCGGAAAACTTTCAAGATTAATTTTTTTTAGAAGCATGAGTAAGTTTGGGGACATAAAAGGAAACGGAGTGTGGAAAAACACTTGTTATCCATTTTCTGAATTCAAAACAACAACCCAAACAAGCAGAGTGTTGTCTGCATTCTCACTCCATGCTCTTCGTGATGTTCTGATTCATCGGCCACATCAGGCCGTGAGTGTCCATGACTTTGGAATCCCTCTTGGACAAGCAGAGAAAACAAAACTGAAGCCACAATGTTGCTAATGCATAACATTTAGCTGGTAAATCTCAGCTGCAGCACAAAGCCCAAACCACCAGCCTCCACCACTGTGCTTTGCACTTGCTATGGGCTGATTTTACTGATATGCTGTTTCTATTGTATCGTCAAACCTCTACGCTTTGTTCCCATCTGTTCAAAGAAAATTGCTCAAAGTCTTGGCCGTCATTCAAAAGCAAATCTGCAAACCCATGTTGTGCTGCTGTATTTGTTTCTGGTAAAAGAACTTTCTCCATTGACATTTCCATACTTTTTCAGTCTTTTTCAAACCATCATGAACTTGGAGACCAGCGCAAAGTTTCTGGCGAAAATTCACTGACATCAAAGATCCATGGAGAGGGACACAGATCTGGTGATGTAAAGACTCAACACCACGAAGTTCAGGGGAACTCAAGGGAACAACTTCATTAGCAGAACATCATGATCATGAACTCTGCCATTTAGTGTAGTAACTGAGGCCTGTAGAGTCTGAGATGAAACTCCTGCAGTCTTTTATCATATCTTTGAGCATTGCATGCTCTGACCTTTAGGATGAATCTGCTGGGTTGTCCACTTCAGTGAAGATTGAAAAAAAAAAACACGTTTTTCACTTGTTAACACACAGACTGTAAGAGCTAGCATATGATTAATTATTCTGTGGAGTTTGATCAGCTGTAGCTGGCTGCTACTTTTTCATGCATTTATTAAGCACTTTACTGCTTGTGCTGCTTTTTCCATCTCTCTCTGGACAGGTATGGTGCATTTCTTAGCATTACTGTAAAACTCGGACCTTGGAAAAAGTAACACTCCATCAAAATTCCAATATGACATTGTTACAGGTTCCTTGCAGTCAGCAGATATGAAGCCAAGGATTCATTGTGTTGTGTAGCTACTTACAGTGGGGAAAAAAGTCATGAACCCCTCAACGCTTTTCTCAGTCAATATGTTTCTAATATTTCAACTGACAAGAAATTCATACCAGATGTCGTCAACAGCTCACGTAATCCGCTCTTCCAAAGAAATCAAAGGAATTTAATCCACAATGAAGCTATGGCTAAAAAATGGAATGACATAAAAGAATAAGTATTGGACTTGCTTACAAAAATGTGTGACAATACAGCCTAGAAAATACTTTTTTGGTAAGTTAAGACTTATCCTGTATGTTGCATGCAGTCGCTGTTCCAATGTGATGTTGACTCATTCTTCCTCACAAACTTTTTTTAAACCTGAAAGCTTCTTGGGGTGCTTTGCACGAGTTCTGATCTTCATCTTTTTTCTAAGTTAGATGACTGACTGGGATATTCAAACAGATAAAGTTCTTTAATTTTACACGTTCTGTCTGAACCAGAACCTGTAGGACAGCCCAGACCATGGTGTTTCCACCTGCAGTCTTTAACATTAGCATGGTGTTTTTGGGTTGGTGTTCAGAGCCATTCTTCCTCCAAACACGGTGTGTACAGTGACATCCATACCCTCCGGTTGTCCGACCAAGATAGACCTGAGGACTGTTTTCATCAAAACTACGAAGCAATTTGAGGGGAATATCAAAAGTGAGACAGGAAATGAGACATGGAGGCCAACTAAAACACATTCAACAGGCACATGCACTTGTGAATACTCGATCTTGAAGGTCCAGTGGTCCATGGAGGGACCCTCCAGTCGAAGCCTGTACTTCAGGAAAACATCCGATTGGAGCGTGAAGAGTCAGACACAATCTTGAATATTAAACCAGCTGATTTTGATTACTGGCATATTCTAGATGGTTCTTGTTATGGCTTTTTCATACATATTGCCTGTACCATGTCACTTCCTATCACATTACTTAATTTATGGAACAATTAGTTTTCTTATAGATTACTTGATTTGTTGGTCACATCTGGAGGGTTTTTCATTTATACAGGAATATTAGAAATATATTTACAGAGATCCACATGTTAAATTCTTATCTGCCAGATTTTATGTTTTGTTCCTCTATGGACTGATACCAGACATGCCAGATTGAAAACAATCAAAATAGACCTTAGAGTTGTTGCTGTGCTGCTTTTCTCACTTGTACTTGGGAAAATAAATCACCTTCAGTAGAACTTGAAACAACTTCAGCCTCCTCCTACATCTCACAATGTACAAAGAAAGCTCTTCAAATTGTGTTTTTAAATTGATGTGTAGGAATCCTAAATGCTACATAGAGAAGGCAAGGGCCTCTTTTTGACAAGACGGTGTGCATGTTGGGCCCCATTTGGGCTGCACTTTTCTCTGGAGTTCGCTCTGCTGGCATCAGCCCTCCAGCTTTGAAGCAGCCAGTTGAAAGGCAAAC